GCAAACAATAGACCCCAGGATGGAGAAGTTCGAGATCAACAACCAGTCCAGCATCCCAGGCCGGTAGCCATGAAAGCGGTTTTTTCAACAGGGCGAGCTTACCGGGGGACCCTTTTCAAACTGGGTCTAAATGGTCGCCGGCCCAAAGTCAAGCCCTCTTAATGTTTTAGCTTCACGTATTTCAGTTGAAATCAATTTTGTATCAGCAATTCACAACACTTTTACAGCTTGTGAAGAAGACAACAACAAAGTATTTTGCGTTTACCAGGGTAGGGTTGTTGCCGTTGGACAGGATGTCCAGCAGATCGGCGGAGGACACAAAGTAGAAGCGGGGGAAGGCCAGCCGCTTGGTCTCCAGATATTCAGCCAGGGCCTTCTCACAGATGGTCAGCCTGGAATGAGCACAGAGAAAACGTGGGTCGTGGAGTGTCCCAGCGGGTTGCTCGCAGACAATCTCTGAGAGATTGTGCAGCCTACTCATGATAACCAAGGAGCATACATTGAGTTTGTGCATTGGTTGACAAAAACTGAAACCAATTGTAAATTGCAGCACTAGTTTCCAGAACGGTGGATCTATAAAGAATTGAAAAGGTTCGGGTCACATAGTCATCACAGTAACAGTAAGATTTTAATGTTAGATATCATCAGGTAGATATACTTTTTTTCTTTTCAAATATTCAATTGAAAGTGGTCACAAAAAGAGGAATGTACATTTCTTCCTCAAATATGTCTCTGTGATTTCCAATCATTCTCCAAAGAGCAGAAATATGTAACACCTTAAAAAGCAGCAAAAATGACAGGTTGAGAACGGGTCTTACTTTGCTTGTAAGCCTTCCAGTCTCTCAAAGAGTCCCTCTTTGTTGGTGGCCTGCACAACATTTGGTGTCTTCTCAGCTTCGTTCATCAGATCCTGCAACAGGGAGGTTGGAATTTCAACACGGCGCACTTGGGAAAGCGTTCAAATTTGGTCTTCGCAGGAAAGGATTGCTTCAGATCTTATTTAAAGGAGCAATATTTAGGGTTCTAAAAACTGGAACAAATGGTGCATACGAATAATTGTAAATTCTTTTGTAGTTTACTGAAATAAATGATTTTGCTAAGTGGCCGGCTGCGCAAGTGTCTTTCACCTTAACCTGGATAACATATAACAAACAAATAAATAAACTTACTCTTTAAATGAGCTCCTACAAAGCTTTTAAAAACAATGACAAAATGTAGAACTCCTTTCATTTGTTT